GTCTCTTAACGCGGAAGAGGATGTTAGATGATACAAGCAGTCTAAAAGCAGAGCACATTAGTGCGACGCTGAGATGTAACGGAGGAGAGAATTTAGCCCTCTGAGGTAAGCTAAATTTAAGTGAGAGTAGACAGATACTGCAAAATGAATTGGAGCCATCTGTCTTCTTCCCTGCCTACACTCGCTTCCTCTTGCTTCCCTCACCCTTTCCTCTCCATCTCTCTCCCCTTTCCTTCTTTCTCCCTGTGCCTCTGCCCTCTCTCAGTCACATTCAGCTTGTGTCGTGTCATCAATATGGCTGACAGAATAGCTCTCTTACTCTTCTGTCAAGGCAAAAAGAGCTTTTAAAGCAAGTCAATGCTCAGGGGTCATTTGCTCAAGGAGTTTCATGTCTCTCGCCCGCTCCCTCTTCCCCATGTTCTCTCTGTCAGGTATCTCATGTGCTAAATGTTGCATATGGAGTCGATAACCTGTTCCCAGATACGATGGTGTATAAGACGCTCCAGATCCTGGACCTCCCAGAAACCGAGATCACTTCCTACTTCGAGGAGTGCAGCTCCTTCATAGATCAGACTCGGGAACAGGTACGTACACACAGTTAGAATAAAGTCATCCACTTCTATACGTGGATGGCAGTTATGGAGGCAGAGTTCTGCAGAGAGGATGTTCTTTGCAGGCCAACTCAGAGGCTGGCATTGCTTTGGCTCAACTGACTATCCATAAACTTATGATTATTACAGAAATAAGTTTTTGACACTTACACTTTGTGTTCAGCAAGATGAACTCCACAAATTTCTCCAATATCTTTTTGAAGCAATCGCAAGACATGAGAGACTGATGTTAGGCTAAAAGGCGTGACATTAATGCATTTAATGTCACGCTTTTAATAACTTTAAATGTAGCAGCCTTTATTATCCACAAACTTTATATCAGACATCTAACCAAAAATCCCTTTTAAGAAAACTTAAGAAAGCTGTTGTTTTTTATCAATACGTATGTGCATTTTCTTTCATGTGAATTTACAACTTTAATCTAGATCTAAAATCTGAGTTATTCTGGGAATATTACCCCTACTTCCCTTGCCCCTTAATTCTTTATTCCATGTACTTACCATAAGTGGGCCAAGGCAGGAGGGCTGGTGAATGTCAACAGGATCACAGATACCTGTGTATCTGCAGAGTGGTCACGGTGCCCACCCATGCTGCTCGTTGTCCATCACCAACGATGCCTGCAGTGAACACAAGAGCATCAGAACTGGGCCGTGGAATAAATGACGTTGGGCTGATTTTCTTCCCAGAGACTAAAAAAAGCGGTTT